GTCACTCTGTATCTCTGCATCGCTCACCTTTTTAACTTGTTTGAGGAAGTTGTAGCCCAGTGCCAGCTTCTTATAAGCAGAGCCATAAGACGTTTGCCACGACTGCACAGTCTGGACGGCCAGAGCTCTCAGTTTCCTGGCTACTTCTTTAGGAGGAGGGAGGGGCTGCTCTGAATCAGTCTCTACCGTCAGCTCCAAGAACTCCTGTGGGAAGAAGAGAGGTGGAGGAATAGACGAGGGGGACACAGAAAGAAAGACATGCTAACATTAAAGCTGAGTGTTTGTATCGTTCCTCTTTGAATGGAATTCACTGTACGTGGATTTATCCTGCACAGATCACTTAGTGCGTACGTGAACCGATATCAGCCGAAAAGCTAAAAAGACTTTCAGTTTGCCTTTGCTCCGTTACGTTTTTGAACTTTTTCATCAGTGTTTTTATTTTGTTTTTAGTGTTAAATAACTGTAAGACTGGGATCCACTCACAACAAACATTAGATTCAACAGTTAGCAGTGCTAGCATGCTAATGGCGCTAGACAACCAGGATGTTTAAACACAAATAATCTCCCAGCTCTGTCACAGGGTAGCATTTCTGCGAGCAGAGTCGGGGATATTGTTAAAACTGATATGATGGCTTCTGTAGCAGTGTGGTGACTGCTATAAAAAGCCATCATTGGCCTTATTCTGCCAGTAGAAAGCCAGGTCCTGTAATGTTTGGTGTGCACTGGATGATCTCAGATGATCACTAGCTACTAGCAGCTGATTTACCTGGAGGTTGTCCACTAGCAGCATCCTGAAGTGGTGTGACCTGGAGAAGAGCTCCCCGGCGATCTGGAAGGCAGAGAGCCGGATCTCAGCATGTTCTTGGTTCAGCTGGGACATCACTGAGTGGTACACGTGGTCTATGCAGTCATTAGACACTCTGAGGAGTGGAGAACAGGTGGAGAGTAATTAGCCCAGTAACGTTTTTAAATTTGATGTTATGAATCACGAAAGAACTTGTTTGTTGTTGTGAGGACTCATGATGCTGAAAAAGAATCACATGACTGTATTTAACACGTAACCATATTTTACCATAAATACTGTCAGTTTTCATAAAACCTTTCTTGTGTAGACAAACACAAGTTAATGTACACTCACATAAATTGTTTTGGATGATGACGTCTTGTTGTATTGAACGATCAGCTGTTTTCTTTCGTTCTTTGCGTCTCCTTTATTTGACTGTCCAGTAACTTTTTATCTGTTCGTGGGAAATTGTGATTCTCATCCTGATGTAGACCCTCTGTGGCACGTGCAGGGGTCGTGCAGGGGTCGTGCAGGGGTCGGGGCTTGAGCTCCTCCCCCTTTCCTGATGGGTGCCCTTTTCTTTAGACATTTAACTGTGCGCATGTGGAGTCCTCCCTGTACCTCTCAACAATAACATTTCATTATTAATCACAATTTCACTAAATAAAATGATCGGGCTTGCATCGGTCACATGACTACCATTGACCAACGCTCGCCCTTGATGGCAGAGCGCGCTGGTTGCGAGACGAAGACTGATGCAACAGAAACCAGTAAGTAGGGTGTACAGCCCGATCCGGCAGGGAGGGGTGGGATGCCAGATCAGGTGCCCCCCCTCCTGGCTCTCCTCTCTTGTCTCTTTTGTCTTACTTGTCTCTATCAACCTTTAAAAAAGAGGCTCCAAAAATTTTAAAGCTTTAAAATTTTTCAAAATTTTACTTCAGTTACAGTGAATTGATGTCCATCCATCCATTCACTTCTGCTTATCCTTTTCAGGGTCGCGGGAGCCTATCCCAGCTGTCTTAGGGCAAGAGGCCAGGTCACCGGTCTGTCGCAGCCGGGCTAACCGGCGCATTCACACTATGGGCAATTTAGTGTTTCCAATTAACCTATCCCCATTAACTGCATAACTGTGGGAGGAAGCCGGAGAACCCGGGGAGAACCCACGCGAACATGCAAACATCAGACCCCAGCCTGATGGCGGAACTGAACTCAGGACCTGAGGCAACAGTGCTAACCACTGTGCCACCGTGCTGCGGTGGATAAACTGTAGAAAACTAAATAGAAGAAAGTAGAAGAGAAACCAGCGACACACTGGTTCAAGCCTGGCAGGGCCTCCTTGGATGAGGGTGTCTAGTGATAATGGCCAAAAAACCCGATGAATTCAAGTCCACTGCTGACGATGTGTCCCAAGATTTTAATATTATAGTCTAGATCAGATCTCTAATCCCTAAACCAAACCAAGGAAGGTAAAAATGTCAGATTAACTTGTGATAAAAGACGGAAACAGCCCGTGAAGTTGAGGCACACAACGATGCGCTCCGCTGGCTGCCTTTCCTCATAACAGCCATCAAGACTTTCTCCATTTGAAGCGGTGGATTATCAGGCACTGTAACATCCTTTTATTGAGTTATAACACACAGGAGTATTAAGTTATTATGTACACGTTGGTAAATTGTCTTGTGGTAACTGATGAGACAAATGAGCGCGCTGTGTGTGCAACAGCATGACAAATATTACCTGTCCTGTTATTAACTGCACAACTGTGCTGCTCATTAGCTGCTGGCTAACTGAGTAAGAGTGTCATGGGTCTGCAGGTCTGTCCACGCTTTAGGGAACATATTTAGTTTTAAAGTAAGTTCCCTGCCTTTCTTGGGGGTTTATATTTCACTAAAAACTGATCTGCATATCCACATAATTATGGATTAAAACACACTGTCTTTCTAAGAAAATACATTAAGAAACAGATTATATTAGATTTACATTGTAAATAAGACAAAATGCTGAATTTACAGCAGCAAAATGATTTTATCTCTACAAACATTTAAAAGCTTTCTGCACAGATAGTCAAGCAAATTGAATCATCATAAATACATTATTTAATATTTATTACTTTATTATTATAGCACCTGGAATAATTAATAAGAGAAGGATCCTGGATCACACCATGATGAAAGTGGCCATAGTATGTACACTGTAAAATGTCACTGTATGTGCATGTGTGTGTGTATTTTATGTGTATAGATTTTTTGGCTAAATTCTTATTTTACTGTAATCTCATTAGACTTGTTCTATCAGCTACCATCTCCTGTGGACTTTTTAATCTCTCAAGTCTCAGATCAACACAGTCCTGCCCTCCAGCACTATCAGCAGCAACAGTAACCCCTCAACAGCAACGCTGCACCCATCAGGTAAAACATGGCTATGTTTGCATTGCATTGTCCCCACTTGATGACAATGATATAGTATGAAGCGATATTATATTAGCTTGTTGGTGAATGTGGGTTGTTGTTATTCTATGTGCCCCTTTTGATATTCTCTTGACAATCTGCGCGCTTGATAACAGATCTTGATAGATTCGGAGTTTCCTTACTGTGTTGTCAGATACTTGCGATCCTGACCCCTTTCCAAAGGATTGCACATTTTGGAGTCTTTCATTTGTTTCATAATTCCACTTCACACCTACAACTAAATAATCCCTGTGGAAATGCTGATGTCATACTTGCAGAGCTTTTTGACCTCCTTCATTTTGTCTTGGTTGAGCTGTGGCTGTCCTGATGTGGTCAGTTCCTCCACCAACTCCGATAGACGCTCCCTCTGAGACAGCTCCATCACTGTTC